AGGTAGGGAGGTAATTAGGTTTTTATTATTTTTGGTGGAAGTACCAGGGATTGAACCCAGGACTTTGCGCATACTAGGCAAACACTACCATTGAGTTATACCCTCCCCCCTCGAGAACATAAGAAATGGAATTAAAAAGTCAGTAGGAAAAAGCATGTTAGTAAAAACTGCTAAATTAGAAACAACTTGTTAGTGTCCTAGGTGCTATAAAGCTGCTTTGGATGGTTATTTTCTCTGCTAAGACAGAAAAGAAAATGATCACACTTTATCTGTTTTTTAAGAAGTTAAACTTCTAATTTTACAGAGCTATAAAATGTCATTGCTCTAATCAATTGTGATATTAAGTGAAATGAACTTATATTCCTCAAAAGAGATGATCCACAAGTGGGCTTATTAGAGCTTGACATTAAAAGTCATAAAGTTATTTTTTGCCTTATTTCTGTGTTTTGAGTGATTTTCTTTAACAAGTGTCAGTAGCAGCTCTCAGAGGCTGAGAGCAGGTGGATGGGTGTGAGCCCAATGAGAGGACGAGGAGGGAGGGCAGGCCGGCATCTGGTTTGGTAGATGGATGCCAAGTTTAGGGATGGCTGAATTTCGACAGCTTAGTTTTTACGACTTTGGTGGACAAGACTCCTTGATTTCTCGATAGAGGAAACTCATACAATGGTGTAGAGGGAAGGAAAAGTCAAATTTGTTTTATGAGTTTCTCCATATAGACCACGTTAGTGACAATGTATGCAGTTTCCAAAAGACAGCAATTTAAGGAATCTAACTATCTTGCCAAGATTTTGTTACTCTAGGACAATTTCCTGGTATAAATACCGGCTTAGGAAAATAAAAACCTTTTCAACTTAAGTGGGCTTTCTTCCATATTCTCCACTTACCCCTTCTCTCTCATCTTTCGCCTCTTCCAAATGGAGTGATTCTGAGAAAGTTCCTTGCCCCTCTATTAAGCCACCAGCCTTGTGGTAATTTGTTCTGGCAGCCCTAGGAAACTAATACACACAGCTTTCTTTCAACAAATTCCTGGGACCCTCTGATTCTTGCATCTGGTTCTGTGTGTGGGACCCCGTTGTATGCTCGATATGCCCCTCTCCTTGACAGCATTTCCCAGTACGTTTCTTTTGTTGGTGTCTCGTCTTCCTTTCTCACTGCATGGTGGTCTCCTTGAGAGCAGGAATTTTGTCTTTTTTCTACTCTATTTATCCCCTGTTTATAACTGCCTGGCACATAGTAGGCATTCCACAAGTATTATGAAACATAGGAACACTTTTTGTGCTCCCCACAGAATTTAGTACAGGATTTTGTGCTGAAATAAGCATCTTATAAATGTGTGTTCATTGGTCCAGGAATTTTCTGTCTTTTTATATAGTTCTCCCACTTGCCAACATCATAAAACTAATATTAATCTCGTACCTTCTCTTTAGAATGTGTCCTCACTTGGCACTTGAGTCATTTCCTCCGAAGTAGGAAATTCTGGCAAGACAAACTCAAGCAGGTTGGCCAGTTATCACCCTGGCAGGAGGGCACTGGGCATGTTCCCTGAACTCCCTCCGTTTGCCTAGTTCCTGACTAGGTTTCAACAGTGAGACAAAAGTCCCTTGTGATTTAATTAGATAGTTACGAAGATTCACTGGGTCTGCATGCTGATGCTTGGTTACTGTCAGCTATAGGAGGCCACTGGGGAAATCTCTGTCCATAGTCCATTATGGACATTAATGCCTGAGATATTTAAACATTTAATCCGTAGAAAGTACTACATAGCATGTGTAAGTCTGTTAAGACTAGCCTGCAGTTCACTGTATTTCTGGCAATGCTGAGAAAAGCCATAGGATTAGAATATGCCTCCTTTTGATTTTCCAAGAAATTCAGTATTGGAGGAAATTAGTCTAATAAATATTTTACTGATTTAGATACTGTAAAAGGATTACCTTAAAGGATGGGGACTTTTAGGGATTGAATGGGAAGAGGTAAATAGAATATAAGAGGTTCTTTTTGCTGCTGTTGGGGAAATTTGTTTAAAATAAACAAGTGATTTCATGAGAGGAGTAAAAAGATATAATGTAAAAATGGTAGTGCTTTTTGAGGGATGTGTATGAAAGTTGGGAGGAACAACTCACTCCTGGTGAAAATAGATGTTTATGAGCTAACTGTCTAAAGTTTATCAAAAATGTCAACAGACAGCTTACTTCCTTTCTTTCTCCCTGGCAAGGTGCTTCTTAGACTGAAACCTCACAATTTCCTTCCCTCACCAAGCATTTTGGGTTCTATTTCCATTTCCCCCTTTGTATTTGTTAATTGTCCTACCCTGAAATTTCATTGCAACATTTAATCTTATGTTCTCTTTCTTATCCATTTACAGCATGTGTTTTCTGATAGGTACAGCCTACTCATGCTCATAAGAGATTAGTGTTTTGTCATATGTTAACTAATATTCTCTGTTTTTTAAATGTCTAATATTCAGAAATGAATGTTTTTCTTCTTTTCTAACCTAGAGCTAGTAAGCATCACTTACTTACAGGTAGCACTGTGTCAGAAGAACACTGCCTATGTGGTAGCCAAACAGCATAGAGACTGAGAGCATGGCTTTTGTAGCTTGATAGATCTAAGATTGAATTTTAGCAACACTACTTACTGACTTGTGACTTTGGGCCTTCAGTTTCCACATTTATAAAATGGGAATAATAACTCTGATCTCATAAGGTTTTGTGATAATATGATAAAGTCCTCATCTGGGGCTTGGCTCCCTGTAGCAAATGGGAGTCACTTTTATCACTCCTGTGAGTTGGAGGAGAGGATGTGCCACGGTTCAGAGTAAATATAGCCAGATGATAAGTATTTCTTATATTTGCTTTTACTTCAGGCCTTTATCTGTAATAGGAGGAACACAGGAAGGAAGATACTGCTTGATATTGTGAAACATCTCCTATAAAAGAGAATGCCCTCCAAAGTGGTCTCCCCATACGTACAGAGGTGTAACTGAAGCAGGCTTCATTGCTACCCAGCATAATTTTGGGAGGGAATATGAAGAATTATGTCTTGATATTTTTCATGCCCTGGGGGAAGAGGAAGTGGTTTCCATCCAGGCTGATGACAGTAGGTGACTCCACCCCTTGGTTCCCTGAAGGCTGAGATCCGGCTTTATTATGTTAAAAGACACTTGACTTTGTGTAGCTTTCAGCCTCCAGGAGCCTTGGACCAGATTCTTGTAGTTTTCAAATTTCCCAATTGATTTTTTTTTTTCCTGTAGGGGCAGGGGAGCAAGGGATACTGTTCTTCTGCAGTTAGCTGTCGGTCGTAAACCATTATACATTGTCAGGAAAATGCTTTAAACCCTTCTAAGCGATCTATTCTGTTTCATCACATTGGGGTATACGATTAGATTCTTTTTAAATATTTAAATGAATAATATCAATCCTCTTTTTTTTTCCATTGGGAGAAGCCCTTTCTTCTTTTTCTGGGATCCCCTCTGTCTCTAATTCTAAAATCTCGGGGACATTTGCTCACTGAAAGGGTCACTCCCGAAGTAAAGACATCTGGTAAGCCTGCCCAGTTTGCTAGGGGAACCCAACCTGGTTAACATGTTGTCTTAAGTGGTCTGCCATTTCAGTGTGTCAGCCTAAATAAAGAGGTAAACTGAGGCAAGGTCACATTACCAGAAATTGAATTTATTCAGTAATAGCCAAGGAATTGCA